CACTGAAACAGATGGAGGGAGAAAAAACATTAATGTTGGACATTTTGAAAAATTGTTTTTCTTCTAATTCACAGTAATGTAATTAATTACAGAAAACAAAAAATTTGAAATAATTAATTGCTACCCATACAGTTTCAATGTGATGACTCGGAGATTTCTACACTAGGCAGCAGAAGAATTAGGCTGAACCTGAGGTATAATTAGTTTGGAACTCTGGAATAGCCACTGGGGGCTGAAGCAACTTCTTCAACTCATTTACTTCAGAGGTAAAGGCCGACAAAACACTAGCATAAGATACCCAAATCTTAACTTGATCCATATCCATAGAAAGACGATAGAACTCTGAGTAATTTAAAGGTAGTATGCAGAGAAGTAGCTTTAGTAATAGTAAAACCATCTTAATCTCTATCAACATCAGAATAAGATTCATCGTGTCCAGCGTGCTGTGCACTACGCTGATCATCAATAACACTATTATCTACAAATGCAGGTGGTGAAGGGACAGGTGCAGAAATTTTAAAAGTAGACCTAGACCTCAAGCTGCTACTCTGTTCAAATTCCTTTTGGCTTCTTTTCCTATGAATCTTTGGAACCTTTACATTATTCTTAATGCAGTGGTCCAGTTTAATAATAATCATCATTGAGCTTCTTCCTCAATGGATTTACAAAACCCTTTCTCTTTACCAAATCACTTCCAATATCTTTAAGTTCTAGCGACCTTGCCTTGCAGAATAGACAAAACCTAAGTGCCAAAAGCTTACCAATTTCAATATTCTCGAATTCTGGTGCAATATCTGACATAGGGGCATTTCATAGGCAGGAGCAAAAGCTACAGCTAATACTATGTTTACACTGACACGTTTTGGACTGCACCCCGCTCTGGACCAATCCCACAATTATTTTGGAACCGTTTCCACTGTAGCTAAGGTGTGGTTGATTGAGCGTGCCATTTTGTATGGACAAAATGGATTCCAGTGTGGAATTTTTTTGCAGGCCATTTCTTCAGCAAAGAAACACCAAAAATATGGATGGAACTGCAGAAAGTGAATTAAAGACGTAAGAAACAGATAACCACGTGTTTAGATATATTATAGAAGACAGGCCAGAAAAAGAATGATATATGTAGCTATGGTCATGCTCTCTGTACTTGCTCCACTCCCTTGTCGACCTAGAGCATGTTGGACAGTTATGAGGTTTGTTTACTTTAATCTTAGCAAAATATAAAGGTATTCTTTTTAGATCCAGGCATTGGTGGGAATGTATAGTGCTACAAAACTTCACTAATGAGGACTGGGTTGAGAACTTTAGAATCAGTAAACTTACTTTCATGTTCTTGTGTCAGCACCTAAGGAGAGTATTGAACAGAAAAATACTCACTAGAGAGACAGTATTTCTGTTCCTCAACGTATCGGAGTGACATTGTGGTATCTTGCCACATGTACAGAATATCGTACCATTGGGCATTTATTTGGGATAGCATGGTCTATAGTATGTCTTATAATTCATGATACATGTCAAGCTATTGTTAATGTACTTCTCAAGAAATACATTAAATTTCCAAAAGGACAACGGTTGCGTGATGTTGTCAATGGTTTTAAGACCAAGTGGGGTATGATACAGTGTTGTGGTGTTATTGATAGAACTCATATACCTGTAACACCACCTTCCTTAGAACATACAGATTACTTTAATAGAAAAGGATGGTACTCTATCATTTTACAAGGTGTTGTCGATCATAATTATTTGTTTGAAGACATATATGTGGGATGGCCAGGAAGTGTTCACGACGCTCGAGTATTGGCACATTCATCTATATATGCCAAGGCGTCTCATGGTGAAATACTACAAGAAGATAAATTAACAATAAATGGTACTGACGTTCCCACTTTTTTGATTGGAGATTCTGCCTATCCTTTATTAACTTGGATTATGAAGCCATTTGCTCATAATATCTCACTATTCAACAAAAGAACAATAACTATGCACTGTGTAGAGCTCGTATTGTAGTCGAAAATTGCTTTGGAAGGTTAAAGGCAAGGTGGCGTAGATTGCTCAAAAGAATTGATATGGATGTAGACAAAGTACCAAATATTATCACAGCTTGTTGCATATTACACAATCTTTGTGAGCTAAACAGGGAGCACTTTAATGAATTAAGGCTTGAAGAGGTTAACAACAGCAATCAACCAACATGTACACTATCTAATGTTACAAGTAATGATGCAAAGAACATCAGAAAAGCCCTAGTTTACTACTATAACTCAAACTAAAAGAAGTATTATTGAAACAATCATACATTTACATAATGTGTAACCAATGTAAATTAGTGTAAATATAGTACAATGTTGGTTTGTCAAGTTTATTATAATGTTTACCAAGATTATTAGGTTTAATTATTAGTTTTCAAACATGTCGCATGAATTTTGATGCCAATCAAACATACTGCTACTGCTTGAAGGTATACTACCCCTTTGCGCATTAACAGAATCAAACCCATAAAACTGTTGGGGTGGAGACTGAATTTGACGGCGTGAACTGCACAATATCTGCATCATTTTCAATTGAAATTCTTGCTCTTCCTTTCTTTTGCGATCTCTTTCCCACATTTCCTTTAAGCGTGCCTCTTCCATTTTCATTACTTCATCAAACTTTAGCCTTTTCTCTTCAATGCTACAAAACATTTTGTCACTTGCTTTCTGTAACTGTACCATTTTGTCAATAATACCAGTTATTTTGTATACTTTTTCAATCTTTCTTGGTCGTTTCCTCTTGTTAGTGGCATCTGAATCCGTACAACTGGTAATACTTGTATCATTTTGCTTGGATTCATCTTTCACAATTGACTGGCCCTCATTATGATCTTGGGTATTGTCGCCCAATTCAATATCTTGATCTTGTTCATCATCAGCTAAGGTATCGACAACCATATAAGGCATTGTAGCTGGCTTGTTTCTAAGGATTTTATTTAATTTATTGAAATATTTGCCTGACTTTCTATCAGTCCCAGTTGGGGTATTACTATCTTTTATCTTCTTATACTCACTCTTTAACTTCTTAATTTTGTCTCGACACTATGTACCTGATTTTTCAAAGCCAAATTTCTTCATCTCTTCAGATATCTTTTCATATATGTGCTTGTCCTCCTGCAACCTTCTAGCTCTTCCTGTACTTTGCTTTCACTCCACAGATCAATCAGCTTCACAATCTCCTCATCTCTCCCTGCCATTTTATCTAATCTGTAATGGGTTAAATTAGGGGTTAAATATTCATCATTACCCGCACCGACCTGCTTCTGTGTTCACACTTCAGCTTGGATCGAGCAAACACGCTCCGACCCAGCAGTCATAGATGGTCTGACTCGGCACTCTTGGGCCCAGTACAGTACTTGTTTACATTAATTCCTTTACAGGTGTGACTCGGTCTATACCGGGTCAATGTGCCAGTGTAAACGTAGTATAAGTAACAGCGCCTTCATCACCAGAAAACACTAAAAGGAAAAAAATTATGAAAATGAAAGTAGCATAATGTGAGGAAGTACTGCGAAGGAAATCAGTCTTTGTATAAAGCAACTTAGAGAACGTGAAGGACAGAGTTCAAATACCAAATAGCGAGATATTTTTGTGGAGTCTTATTTTTGTGTTTCTTTGTGTCCAAGACACTTTCACAAAAATTTCACTCAAAAAAGTCAGCAATGATCCGGCATAGGCGTGTCCTGTTGCAGTATTGCTCCTCATGCTATGAAATGGAGAAATACTTCAAGCCGCTTCCTAAAAAAGCTTCCTTCGATGAAAGTACACTTGGCTTACCTTCAAAAACAATTAAAGCTGTCGAGAGAGAGGTTGCGAAAGCTCACCAGACTAAAGCTAGAGTCTCTTATGATACGCTTCCATTGAAAGGAAGACTGAGATCGTCAACTATGCTGTTCGTAATGGCTGATGTATGCAAGTTTGAAGGATCATACTTAATGCACCTAAGAACTGGGCAAATACTGTGAGAGACTGGAAGGATATGTATATTAGAGAATTGAATGGAAAAAATGAACCTTAAAGGTGACGAAAATGACCTATTGATACCGCAGAAAAAAAAAGAGGAAAGCCGTTACCATAGGCGGCTGCAGAATTTTGAAACCCACTGGGGTCATTAATATTCATATTAATGTGGGCGTGGTTAATTAAAAATAATTGATTGGGTGTGGTCAATTAAGTTAATTAATTGACTTTATTATTCTTAATAATCATTATCACACCTATCTATCTAAAACAAAACAATCCTACTATTGTTGTGGCTTTGGGCAAAAGAGAGCATTAACTCATCTAGTTCATTCCATAGCCGAGACGTGAGGTGCCTCTCTATGTACAGAAGAGCCAGATTTGTGAGGCATTTTTGGCTCATTATTGATTGAAGATATGTTTTGAGTCTCCTGAGTAAAGATAAGCTTCTTTCTGCACTAGCACTAGTAACTCCAATTGTCATATCTATCTGGTAGCACTTTTTGATTGTTGGAAAACACTCAGGAACCTTTAAAAGATGGTGATATACACTGTGAAAAGAGATTGACTGATCTTCTCCAGCGGCAGTCAATGATTGCGCTTCCTCTTGAAGAAAGGCCTTCACCGTTGAAACTTCCGCTGTTACTGCTGCTTCAGGGATAATGTAATATGAAAGAAAAGGTTTGAGAGTCGAAAGATTTAGAAAGAGGTGAGAGTTAGGAATGAGTGCGTCTAGTGCCCTCATATGTGAAAGGTTGAGTTCACTAAACCTCGTATTCATCTCATGGACCATGGCATCAAGTGTGGTATTGTAAATATCAGTCTGACATTCTTCAATGTGTGTATCTGTGCTTCTCCCAACACTTGACTCTACTACGGAAGTTTCACTTAGGTCATGAGGTAATTTATGATTACATCTGGTACTCAAAGGAGCTACAGGGACATCACACTTCTCTGCCAAAGCAACAGCTTTCTCCAAAACCTTAGACCATTCTTCTTGTGACCTCAAGTTCATGAGGGTTGTTCTAATCTAGTGGCTTTGATGGAAGAAGCTGCTGCACTATAGCTGATCTGCTCCGACTGTAATAGAATTGAGAGGTTATTGGTAATGGCAAAGACATGATTGAAAAGAGCAAGTGACAGGAAGAAAGAAAATGATGCCACTTGATAAAGTAAGCCTCTAGCGTTTATTGAGCGATCAGTACTGCTTTCTGATATTTCCTCTAGAGTATGAAGAAGTGGTAGAATTGTTGTGTTGGCATTTATAGAGGAAAATCGACAGGACCATCTGGTGTCACTGAGTTTCTTAAGTTGAATCTGTCTTGTGAACCCTAGCTCTTTCATGAATATGGCATGAGAAATAGATGATGAAATGAATACGTACACACTCTCAAGTAGAGAAAAGAAGTAGGAAGCTTGAGAAACTGTGCAACAAGTATTGACAAGAACAAAATTGAGCTGGTGAGCGTGGCAGTGTATATAGATGGCAGAGGGGTTCATATCGGTTACTCTTGTTCTCACTCCAGTCAAACGGCTACTCATGACTGAGGCCCCGTCATAGCACTGACTTACACAATTAGTCATATCGGCATCAATGTCTCTCAGTGCACTTGTAATATAAGTGAATATGGCCTCAGCATTCAATTCAGTACATTTTGTATAGGAAACAAATCTCTCATACGTATTGCCATTAAAGATGTACCTAAGAACAAGAGACAGCTGCTCAAGACTTGCTGATATCCCTAGTTTCATCAGCAACGATGGTGAAGTAACGAGCAGTATGTAGCTCTTCTTTAATCTTCTTTCTCACTGACTCGGCAAGCCGAGCTATAATGCCATTGTGTATGTCATGTCCTAGCCACGTGGCATTTTTTGGACCAGCTATCATCTTCTGTCGCACCATATCAATTGATCTACTGAGAAGTAACATAAGAGACATTAAATAACCTACATTGGTAGATGAATCATCGGCATCCATGACTTCTCTATGCCCTTGTAGAGCTATACTTTACTGAAAACAAAAGAGAATGGCTGAAAATATGTTTTTAACATATAATCTGTTCTCTTCTATTGTAGCTAATCTACTCTTCTGAATCTGAACAGCTACAGAGTTGTTATTAGCTACTGTCAACTGATACTTCTTCTAGGAAAGAACTGCGTGCTGATGCTTAGAGCAGGAGCAATCATGTGAAGTTAGAGTACCACTTTTCCCTCTGGCATGTTTCCAGTCTCTAAATCCAGTAACAGTTAATGCCCAGTCTGTTCCGATTCCAAAAAAGCAGCATGGAAAACAAAATACAGCATCTCTCTCTACTGAGTACTCTAACCAAGGAAAGGTATCATACCAACTCGCTTGAAAGCTTCTCTTTGAAGATCCATATTCTCAATGTCAGACGGTAGACTATGGGAGTGAGAATGGGATGGGTTAGATCCAAGCGTATGTTCTGAGACTGAAAGCGTTGGAACTTCAAATGAAACCAGTCTGAGTTTGAGCCTGAGATTCAAGTTCAGAGTTTGAAGTTGCTAGTACTGGCTGTGCAGGTTCATCAACTAAATAATTGCATTATCATAATTCATTACTGTTATAGTAATATTATTCTGAGCTTACTAGTATCAATTGCAGTGCTATCATCATTATATATAGTCCCTTTATGTCTCTTTGACACAAACTGCATCAAAAAAGACTGGCGTTTAGACATTACAATGATTTTATTATATAGATTGAGAACAAATAGAACCACATGCACACTGCAGGAGGAGCTGTAAGGAGTTAACCTTATTGCTTGTTATTGTTATAAAGTAAACATTGGAGGAGCTGTAACAAGTGATTTTCATTGCAAACAGAATCATTGTCACAATAATTAAATGTCCCCAGCCACAATAATTAAAATTTTAGGCATGTCCTGATGTGTAGGAATTATATAGGTGTGACAGGATGTGGTGTCTCAAAATCTACCTAGGCAAAGCACAGGCTTGCCCGGGCCTACAGCCACTTATAGCCGTTACAGATTGGTGAAGATTGATACAAGGACATAAGGATCTACATTACTGCCATACGAGCCAACAGAATCATAGTAAATACCACTATTGTTAAACTGTGATTTCACTTTCTTGACATCCAATATTTGATGCTGTAATGCAATGATTATCTTTGCAGAGCGTCACCTGTATTATTACACTATCACTAATTTCAAATTTATAACTAGGTTTTGTTATTTCCAATGTTGACTTCAAGCCATTTATTTCGGGAAATCTTCTCCCTAATAGACTATGGCCAGTAGTTTATCATTCAAGTTGCCACCACTTATAAAAAAGGAGAACAGTTGTCAAGTACTAAACAAATTGCATCATATTCAATCCATACAGTATTTTCATTACTACTGTCAACTACCTTGGTTTGGACTGTGTCTGCATCAATATAATCCTCATTACTCTTACAATCATGTGACTTATTTACACCAGCTTCGCCTGGTTTGCCAGATGGCAATATTCTTTTTACTTTGTTAACTTCAATTTCACTGTCTGTGATAAAGGTTGTAACGAAGATAATCTCCAACCCTCCTGGTACTAAGTCCCTGGAATATCTCCTGCTGCCTGTCACTGTGCAAATGATACAACCTCCTTGCCAAATAAAGGTAGAACAAATGGCACTGATTTTTTTGGAATATGCTCAACTACATGTTTGTCAGCCACAGCATATGGGTCTTTAATATTTCCTCTTTCTCTTTCACAATCTAGTTCCTCATGTAGGACAGGTGTTCAGATTTTGTGGTAAACATGAAAACCTCGCACACAACTATGAATGCTCCACGACGCAATTTTTATTATTAACCAAATATGAATAATTAATTAAATTAATACAGCATGTAGTTGTCACAAAAATATAACATACAAAATTCTCAACCACTCCAAATTATGAAAATTTGACCCCACAAAAATATCCTGCTACATGATACAGCATGCCATACCGTAGTTCCACTTATTTCAAATTTTTGCCATAATTCATTCTAAAAACATATTTTTAATCATTATTTTTGTTACACATGGTTCTAATTTCATCACTTACCTAAGTTCAGTATGAAAGAAGGATACTCTGAACAACCAGGTTAGTATATAGAGGTTTTGTGTATTAATGGATCTCTCCAAATTAAGCAAAATAATTTATTTATGAGCTTCAGAGCTACCTTCCCTCTAAAATTCCTTTTTAAAAATTACCTATAAAAACTTGATGTGACGAATTTTTAGGAAAAAACAGTAATTGGTTATGGCAAATATGCGCTAACTTGCAAAATTGCATCTAAAAAAGAGAGGGGTTTGATAGATCATGCCCAAATAATTAGTTTTTAAACTTAAACTGAACTCTAGAGCTAACAATTGATGACATCAAAAGAATAATTACGAATTTGGGTGTAGTTTAAATTATAACCATTATAATTGGAAGGTGGCCATTTTGGACGGCAATATATTGTTCTCATGCTGGCCATTTTGGACGGCAATATATTGTTCTCATGCTATGCTTATGGATGTACAATTAGGCATAGTACTTTTGATTTTCCAGTGACAAGGAAAGAAGATATTAGAGGATAAGACCTATCAGGAGACAAAATTGGACTCCATCAGAGTATTCTAGGCTGTGTAGTTCCCATTTCATTACAGGTGAAGCCAGTTCTAATGATGTGTGTAATTTATATATGTATTCATATTTATAGGGAACCATTCCAAGGATCCTTTGCACCCTGACTATGTTCCAAGTGTCTTCGTATTTTCTAAAATGAAATCAGGTAGTCCCTATCCATTTCATTGAGGTGTTCTAAGGTGAATGAACCAATTGCCATCTCCTAAAAAAGTTCAAAAATGGAATAGGTGAAGGAGCAATTTGGTTTTGAAGATATTTACATTTGTTATGCAGCACAGGTCAAATAATAACGGCAGCACCTATACATCAAGACAACAATCTAGCCTATGACTATGAAGAATCCAGTGAAGAGTTTGACTATGATGACAAGGAAGAGGACAGCCTAGAGTATCACGATGACGAAGATGAAAATCACAATGACAATGAAGAACCAGATTATGAGGATGACAACGCAGGAGAGGACAACTCATAGTTTTGCTATGATGATGGGGAAGATTATGATGATAACAATGGAGAATGAAGGAGAGGACAACCTAGAATGTTTCTATGATGACGGTGAAGATTTTAAGGATGATGATAAAGAAGAGGGAAACCCAGAGTGTTACAATGACAACAGAGAAAGAAGACATCATAGGGTATGACAAAGGAGGAGGAAAAAAATTTAGAGTTTGGAAATGTTGGACCACAGGAAATGACCAACTGTGATGAAAGATCCGAGTGGCATACTACATGTAGTCATTGTGATGGTTTACGAATCATTGACATAGACTTGGAGTTAAAGTGCAAGGAGATTGAGCTTGGTGAATGTCAGATTGAGAATGAAGAAGTCAAGGAAACATTTATAAATATAGAGAGAAAGAGTCACTTTGTGATAGGATATGTGCATTAGAAGAAAGTGATATGTTGAAACCCAAGCTGTCTCAAAACCATTGGAAGCACTTCAGAACATGCGCACTAAAGGGCAACAACAAAGCTTTGAAATTTAAGCTATATCAAATTTGCTTTGCTGCAAGCACAATAAATGACAATGGCAGCAAAACCTGCCTTTCCACAGGTCTCGCTACATACCACTTGTTTTTCACTTTATTTCAACATGTAAAGCCATGCTTTAAGTCAACAATTACAAGACATGAACTGATACATGAGTTATTTATGACACTAGTTAAGCTCCATCTTGGTGCCCCATATAAGGACTTGGCATATAGGCTGGATATAAATGAGAAATTTGTTAGTACCATATTTTGCAGATGAATAGTTGTGGAAGTACAGAATTGAATTTCCTTGTAGCTTAGCCTGAAAAGACATAACATGCCCATAATCATTCAGGAAACATTTTATTACAACAAGGTGCATTACAAATTGTTTTGAAATCTTTATTTAACATCCAACTTCCTTTGTGGCTAGGGCTGAACATATAGCCAGTACAAGAAGCAAAATACTGTGTAGGTTATGATTGCAGTCATACCAACTGGTTAAATTTGCTTCATTTCAGATACATGGGGAGGATATGTCTTTGATAAAATCTTGACACAACAATCTTGCTGATTGTGGCTTTAATATTGTAGATCTTGCCTTGTTTGGTGCCAGGTTACAATTCCAGCATTCATAAAAGGAAGATAAAAACTATTGGCAAAGGAAGTAGAAACAACTAGACGTTTGGCACGTGTCTGGATTCATTGTGAAAGGAAGATTGGTCAATTACGTAAGAAGTACAAGATTTTGCAGCAAACACTTCCTGTGAATATGACTAAACATGACAGTGACAGTAAAAAAAATTGTATAACAGATAGAACAGTGATTACCAGGGCTGCTTTATCTTACTTACCACCATCTGTTGTCAACAAGTAATATTGATTGTTATTGTTGTTACTAAATTACATTACTTAATAATTATTATATTTTAAATAATACAATACAGTGACATTGCAACAGTTACGTAAGGATTATTAGAAAGAACTGAGAAATACCGTAAGTATAGAAATTATGATTTTTGCTGTTTTCATGGATGCCAGCTAACCACGAAAATTAATATTTTAACCCTTTATAAACAAAACGCCCACACATCCAATTAATATTAATAACTTATAGTAAAAAATAAAATGGCACTGTACAAGTT